AAAAATTGTTTTGATGATATGATAAAGTTTAGTTTAATCAGTTTAAATAGCAAATAAACAAAGATTCTAATTATTAATAAATAAGCTTCAAATCAAAAAATAAACAAAATATAAACTAATGAATATTTGATGACCAATTCTAACCTTGAAAGTCTTATTTTTCGTCTTCCTGTTGTTGAGAATACACTAATACTCGTTGCCGATGGTAACGGATTAACTTGTTGCTAGAAAAAATAAAAAATAAAAAAAAAATTATAAATATTTTTTAAATTTTAAAATTTAAGTCTTATCAAAATTTTTATGCCTAATTCTTATCAGTATGTTTAATTACTATTTCACTTTATCAATAATTATCATTAATAACATATTTCAGCTTCAGTTGGTGAATTAATTGTTTAGAATCAGTTTCACGTACGATACGTGAACGACGTAATTCAGCGCCACCACCCGAATTTACGCTAACAACAACAGTGGAACAAGTATTCCTAAACAAATAACACATAAATATTTTTCTATTTTTTTTTTGTTTATACTTCAAAATTTATATAACAAATAGCTTTCACCTTTTTTTTCAAATTTAATTATTTAATTAATAAATTTTATATTTTTCAAAAATTTAATTATTTAATTAATTAAAAATAATAATAATTAATATTATAAAATGAAAAATTTAATTTAGCCAAAATAAATGAAAAGAAAAATGTCATTTTTATTTCAATATTTTAATAATTAATTTTTTATATTAGATCAAAAAAAAAAAATTCTTTTTTTTTTTAAAAGAAAATAATTTAATTTTAAAATGAATCAAAAATCGAGCAAACTAAATATATTTGATGTCATACACTTAAATAAATGGCATCATTTCCGCTACTGAAATATAAGCAATAAAAATCAATTTTTTTTTTTTTTTTTTAAAAAAACGAATAAAACAAAATTAAAAAATTTAAAATAAAAATTTCATTGCAATTATAATAGCTAATTTAATATATAACTAATTATTATTATTATTATTAATATTATTATTATTATTATTATTATTATTATTATCATTATTATTATTATTATCATTATTATTATTATTATTAATATAAGTTTTATATAAATTAAACAAACTAATATTGCGATGATTTAATGTCAATTTTTTTTTTTTTTGAATTGAATTTCAATTTGTCAACTAAATTGCTTCTATCAAACAATTTATTCACTAATTACTTATTAACATTTTTTTATTTGCTCATTAGCACTATAAACAAGAAAAAATGTTTATATTCGATGATATCATTTTTACTTTTTTTTTTTAATAAATATTTGTTATTATTATATTAATTTATATAAATTGTTTTTTTTTAAATCATTTATTTCAAAAAAATAGAAATAAATAAATAAATAAAAATGATAAAAAAAATAAAATACAAAAAAAAAATGGAATAATTCTTAGAATTTTAAATTTTTTTTTCATTTTTAATATCTTTAATTTTTTTTTATTACTATTGTTATCAGTGATAACAGTATTAGAACTTTTCATTATTAATATTATCAGTGATAACAGCATTATAATTTTTTATTATTACTATTATCAGTGATAACAATATTACAATTTTTCTTTATTATTACTATTATCAGTGATAAAAGTATTATAATTTTTTGTTATTACTATTATCAATGATAACGCTATTATAATTTTTTTCATTATTACTATTGTCAGTAATAAAAGTATTATAACTTTTTATTATTATTAGTGATAAAAGTATTAGAACTTTTTATTATTACTATTATCAGTGATAAAAGTATTATAATTTTTTGTTATTACTATTATCAGTGATAACAGTATTAGAACTTGTTATTATTACTATTATCAGTGATAAGAATATCATAATTTTTTTTTATTATTACTATTATCAGTGATAAAAGTATTATAAATTTTTATTATTAATATTATCAGTGATAACAATATTATAATTTTTCTTTATTATAAGTATTATCAGTGATAAAAGTATTATTACTAAAATTTAAAAAACAATGATTTAACAAATAAATGCATCTCACATGCATTTTATGTCAAATATGTTAGTAATAAATTATTTAAAAAAAAAAATTTATAAATTTTACAAAATAAAAATGAAATTTAGACAAAAACCAAAAACAAAAAAAAAAAAAGAAAAGAAAGCAATGAATAATTTGAAGATAAAAATGATAAAAATGATAGAATGAAATGAAAAATGTAATTTGATCAGATTAAATTGATATGAAAAGATTTTTTTATAAAATTATTTTAGATATATGTAAAATGAAATTTGATTATGAATTTTTCCTTTCCTTTTTTTTTTCATTTCATTTCATTTCATTTCATTTCACTTTTTTCTCTTTTTTTTTTTTGTTAATAAGCTTATATAAGTGATGCAATGACTATTTTATGCTATCCATTTTCATTTAAATTAAAAATTAAAAAAAATTTTTCGTTTTCATTTTTCATTGTGAAAATTAAAAAAAAAAAATGGAAGAGGAAGCGAAGGAGAAGAATTTTTGCAAAATTTCATTTTTCATTTGTTGTATAATTTTTCTTTTCAATTTTGAAATTTAGAAAAAAAAATTTATGCAAAAGTTATTTTTATTACTTTCTGTCTTTTTTTTTATTTGTTTATTTTTTTTGACTCAAAAAAAAATTAGAATGGAATAATTTAAAATAAAATTAATTTTGAATAAATTAAAATAAAATTAATTTTAAAAAATGGAAAATAAATTTTAAATGATATAAAAGAAAAGGAAATGAAATATTTGAATAAATGAAATCATTTAAAAAAAAAAAGAAAAAAAGCTATGAAATTTATTATTTCTAAAATATCATTGAAATTTTTTATTTAAGAAAAAAAAAATTTTAATTTAAGATGCAATTTTATATTTATGTATTTGAATTATTAGATATGACAAAATTGAAAAATAGATGGAATAAATTAATGAAATAATTTGAAATAAATAAATGATTATATTATAATTAAAATTTCTAAAATTTGGAAATTAATTTATCAAAAAAAGAAAATAAATAAAAATTCTTTCTGAAATATTACTTTAAATTTAATTACTAATGAATGAAAGTGAGAAATAATTTATTTAAAGTATTAAACTTCTTAAAAATAATTTCAACGATGAAGAAAAAAATATACAATTATAATATTTTCTTGAAATTATTTTAAATGAATTTAAGTACAACTATAATTAAATTAATGAAATTTTAATTATTATAAAGAAGGATAAAAAAATAGCGCATTTCATTTTAATTTAGTAAACTTTTCATTTGACAATAATTTTGATAATTAAAAATTGTTATAGCTTATTGATTATTTATTGATAACTGATATTATCATATTTACTATTTATATTCATTTACTATTTATATTTATTTACTGTTTACTATTTATACTATTTATATTTATTTACTATTTATATTTATTTACTATTTAATATTTATTTACTATTTACTATTTACTATCTATTTACTATTTATATTTATTTATTATTCATTTACTGTTTTTTATTTACTGTTTATTATTTATTTACTATTTATATTTACTTACTATTTATCCACCATTTATATTTATTTACTATTTATATCTATTTACTATTTATATTTATTTATTGCTTACTATTCATTTACTGTTTATATTTATTTTCTATTTATATTTATTTACTGTTTACTATTCATATTTATTTACTACTTATATTTATTTACTATTTACCATTAAAAAATCTACTGTAAGATACTGTAATTTTTGATACCATAAATAAATGATAATGATAATAGTTTTTGATAATGATATAGAAATAAATTTAATTCAATTTTAAAATTTTGAAAATTGTTATTTCTTTTTTCTGATTAAATTTTATTTTTGTTATATTTCAGATAAAATATTATAAATAAATAAAAAATATTTTTTAAATATTTTAATGTTAGTTTGCTATTTTAATATTTGTTAAATTTAATTTTTATTTGTTAAATATTTGTTCAATTTAGATTTCATTTAAAATTGATGCGAAATATTTTTTGTAATATTTTAAAAATTTTATGCATGCATGTCAGAATGAATTTTTTTTTTTTAAATTTGAAAAACAAAAAAAAATTGTTATCAAATTTAAATTAAATAAAATTAAAACAAAAAATCATTCAAATTAAAATATTAGAACAGATATGATAATAATACATACTTTTCAGATTGTATACCACTTTCCATTTCTTTTTGCTGTCGTTCATCTCGATTTATAATATCTGATTTTTCTCGAGATTGATACCTTGAAAGAAAAAAAAAATTCTCCTCTAATTATTTTAATTAAAATAATTTGAAATGAAAAAATTTTCATATAGAATTAAAGTAAATATAAGTGTTAAATGTTATATTAACAAAAAAAGTTTTTTTTTTTGTTTATTTCATTTTAAATGTAAATTAACAAATAAATTTGTTGTTAAATATTTAATTTCATATTTTTATTAATTCAAATTGATAAGAAATTTTGTTTTAAATTAATTTTTTTTTTCTTTTATTAATTTAAAATAAATTATTGTTTATAACAATTTTAACAATAATTGAAACAAATTTTTTGCTTTTTTTTTCTCAATAATAATATTTGTTGTTTTTTTTGTTTTTGTTTTTTTTTTCATTCGAAATTTAATAATGAATGAATGAAATAGAATTACAAATAAATTCAAATATCTTTTTTTTCATACTAAATAAAAAATTATAAAATTATACCTATCATTAACGTGAAAAGACGTATCATCACGTGATTGTTTATGACTTATACTACCGCTACTTACACGTCTATAATATAAAATCATACAATATTATTATAAACAATTTTTTTTGCAATTTTTTTTTTTGTCTCTTTTTAAAAATTATTTTAAAAAGTAAAAATAAAATTTAACAAAAATCATTTAATATTAATTATGATTTAAAATAATTTAATTATTTTTTAAAAATTAAATAAAACTACCTTTGATTTTGATCATCAAATGATCTACCAGGTTGTTGTTGTTGTTGTTGTTGTTGTTGTTGTTGTTGTTGTTGTTGTTGTTGTTGTTGTTGTCGTAATCTTTCAGGACTTTTAGTCCTATTCTTCTTTACATAATCATATTCAGTGGTTAATTTATTTTGCAAAAATTTTTTATCATTGATTTGTTGATTTGTTTTAGTTTGTTGTGATGATAATTTATAATCAGTTGGTATCATTTGATCAAAACTTTCAGCACTTATCGATCGATCAGCTGAACATTCATCTAAATCATTGTGTTGTTTTGAGCTATCATGTTGATGTGTTGTGATAGAATCGGTTGTACCATTTCGACGTTCCGTCTTAAAATTTAAGAATTATTTATTTCCGGAAAATTTCTCATATTTTCATAGCATTTCAATGTTTCGTCTAAGGTACAAGTATTATTTATTTCCGGAAAATTTCTCTTATTTTTGTAACATTTCAACGATTTGCTTAAGATATAAGCATTATTTATTTCCGAAAATTCTCCATTATTATCATAGCATCTTAACGTTTCGTCTAAAACATAATTATTTATTTCCGGAAAATTTCCCTTATTTTTATAACATTTCAACTTTTCGTCTAAGTTACAAATATTATTTATTTTTGGAAAATTTCCATTATTATCATAACATTTCAACTTTTCGTCTAAGTTACAAATATTATTTATTTCCGGAAAATTTCCCTTATTTTTATAATACTTCAACGTTTCGTCTAAAACATAAGTATTATTTATTTCCGAAAATTATCCCTTATTTTAATAACACTTCAACGCTTCGTCTAAAACATTATCACTTATTTCCGGAAAATTTCCCTTCTTTTGCACAAAAATTTCAATATTTCGTCTAAAACATAATCATTATTCATTTCCGGAAAATATTTCCTTCTTTTTCCTTCTTTTTTTTCCTCTAAATAATTTAGCAAATGAGTGTAAATAAAAAGTTACAGAAATTAGAAAAAAAAAATTTTTACCTCAAGAGATGGTTGTCGTAAAAGTGTCGTTTGTCGTTTAATGGTTGAATTTACTGGTTTACGTGTTAGCTGTGATCGTTCTTGCTTTACCGGAACAGATTTTTTAGCATCGGAATGAATGGTTATGGCTGATGATGATATTTGCATATTTGAGCCTAGGCCAGCAGATGTTACCAAAGATGATGAGGCATTATTGGCTGCTCGTGTTGTTGGACTTATCATACTGCTCTTACGACTCATCGATGATACTGGTGTTCGTGGTGCAGAATAGGTAGGACTTTAATATAATACTTTTTTTTTTATCAAATATTTTAAAAATTTAAAATAAAAAATTTGCTCATTGCATTTATATTTTTAAAAAAAAAATTTAATATTATTATTTCAGTCAAACATTTGAAAAATTTAAAAAATGAAATTTGCTGAATAAAAAAACTGAAATTTTGACAAAAAAAAGGACATTATATTTTAAAAAACTTTAATATTATTATTTTAATCAAACTATTTTAAAAATTTAAAAATAAAAAATTTGCTCATTCTATTTATATTATTAAAAAAAAAATTTAATATTATTATTTTCAGTCAAAATTTAAAAAATTTAAAAATGAAATTTGCTCATTGTATTTATAAATTAAAAAACTTTAATATTATTATTTCAATCGAATATTTAAAAAATTTAAAAATAAAAATTTGCTCATTCTATTTATATTTTAAAAAAATATAAAAAATTAAAAAAAACATTTTTTACAATTTTTTTCTTTTTAAATTCATATTATTTAATAAAATTAAATTTTAATAATAATAAAAATAAATTTTATTTTTTTTTTTTATTTTTATTTTAAATTTTTCTTTTTTTTTTTTTTTTTCAGATAATCAAATATTTAAAAAATATAAAAATTGACTTTAAAATTGCTAGATGATGAAAAAAATTCTAGAAATATAGAAATTAAAAATTGGACATAAAATACAAAAATAAAAATAAAAAAGTATCAATAATTTAAATACAACAAAATTATTTTTTCTTTCTAAAAAAAAAAAAAAAAAAAAAAATGAAATCATTATTTGTTAATTGTATTTAATTAAAAAAATAAAGTAATATAAATTATATATGCAAAAGTAAATAATCAAGAAGTAAATAAACATATAAAAAGTAAATAAACATGTAAAAAGTAAAAAATCAAAAAGCAAATAAACATGCAAAAAGTAAATAATCAAAAAGTAAATAAACATATAAAAAAGTAAATAAACATGTAAAAAGTAAATTATCAAAAAGTAAATAATCAAAAAGCAAATAAACATGCAGAAAATAATCAAAAAGTAAATAAACATTTAAAAAGTAAATTATCAAAAAGCAAATAAACATGCAAAAGGTAAATAATCAAAAAGTAAACAAACATGTAAAAAATAAACAATCATTGTAATAATAATTTAATTATATGTGCTAACCATATTTTCATATATTAATTATTTTTTAAATATGAATATAAAATAATAATATTTACTTTTTATTTATTATTACAATGATATATGCAAAAGTTTCTAGAAGTTTACTCTTTTTTTCAATATTTTATGAAAACAAAGTAAGCATTTACGTTCAATAATTAAATTTAATAAAAAAAAAAATAAATAAATTTGCTTATTAACTATTAACACTTTAATCAAATCAATTTAACAATTGATAATCATTAAAAGAAATATCATTTTTGTTATCAGTATCAGTATTCTTTTATATCTAAAAAAAAATAAAATGCAAAAAAAAAAACTAATTACTACATATTTGGATTAATTAATTTATTTTAAATATATCATAGAAGTTTTAAGCTAATTATTTTAAAAAACAGTCACAATTAATTTTAAATTAAATTTAAAAATTTCGTTACTACATTTGCTAAAATTAAAGGTCATTTGTTTCAATAATAAATAATAATAACAAGTAATTTAATAATATTATTAATAGTAATTAATAACATTAATAATAAGTGATTTTAACAATAAATTTTTTCAATAATAATTAATAATAATAAGTGATTTTTTAATAAAAATATTAATAATAATAATGAGTGATTTTTTAATAATAATAATAATTTTTGAATAATAATAAGTGATTTTTTAATAAAAATAATTAATAATAATAAGTGATTTTAACAATATTTTTCTTTAATATTAATTAATAATAATAAGTAATTTTTTAATAATAATATAAACAACATGAGTGATTTTTTTAATAATAATATTAATAATAATAAGTGATTTTTAAATAATAATAATGATTTTCTTTTCTATTAATTAATTATAATAAGTGATTTTTTAATAATAATATTAATAATATTAAGTGAATTTTAAATAATAATAAGTGATTTTAACAATATTTTTCTTTAATATTAATTAATTATAATAAGTGATTTTTTTAATAACAATAATAATAATATTTAACTAGCCTAATTAATTATAGCCTATTGCATTCTAATAATAAAACAAAATTTAAAGTCCAACCTTATGTCACCTGGACTAGCTGTCCCTTTAGCTTCATCAGCCATTGCAGCTTGTTGAAACCATTTGCCAGTTTTAGCAAGAATTCGTTGTCGTTGTTGGCACAATGAACACGCCCAAATTGGCTTTAAAAGTTTTTAATAATTAAAAAAGTAAACAAAGTTGGCTTTAAAAAAAAATTTTTTTTGATAATTAAAAAAGTAAACAAAGTTCACTTTAAATAAAATTTTTTGATAATTAAAAAAGTAAACAAAGTTGGCTTTAAAAAAGAATTTTTTTTGATAATTAAAAAAGTAAACAAAGTTGGCTTTAAAAAAAAATTTTTTCGATAATTAAAAAGACAAACAAAAATTATTGCTTAATAATTTTGAAATTTTTATTATTATTACTAATCATTTTATTATTATTTATTGTTATTAATCTTTTTATTATTATTACCTAATATTATATAAAAATATATATTGCTTATATATTAATCATTTCTGGATAGATATTAGTAATTAGCGCAATTGTCCTATAAAATAAAATTTAAAATTAGCACTAATTTTTTTTTTTTATTTCTTATCAAATTTCTAGCATTTTTAATAACTTATAATTATTAAAATTTTTTTAAATAGAATAAATATACACTTTGGAATAAATATTTCTTTTTTTCTTGAAATTAACTGAAAATAAAAATTAAACTTTTAACAGTTAATTAAACCAATGTTTATCATTTAAAAATTAATAATTAGAAAACTTAATCATACTTCAGTCACTATTATTTTCCAAAAAATTATATTTCCTTCCTAAAAAAAAAAATTTAATCAGTTGACAACGAATTTTTTTTTTAAAAAAAAAACAGTTATTTCAATTAGTAAATAAAATTTGTAATGTTTGCAAGTAAAATTACAATAAATATAAATTGCAAAAATTTTAATTTTAGAATACATCGAAGATTTTACTTCACAGTTTAATAATTTAATTGCTAAAAATAGCTAATATTTCATTGTTTACAAAATAATTAAATATACGTAAATATGCATTTATTTATTTGTTTATTTATTTACTAAATTAAATAAAACGAAAATTTTAATAATAATACAAAATTTTGATACAAATAATTCTGATACGAAAAATTTTAATAAATAATATAAAATTTTGATGCAAATAATTCTGATACGAAAAATCTTAATAAATAATATAAAAATTTGTTGCAAATAATTCTGATACGAAAAATTTTAATAAATAATATAAAAATTTGATTTAATTAACATATAAAAATCAAAGATTATATTATTGAAACAGTTTATTTGTTTTGTTTATTTATTGTTTTTGTTTACTTTTTTGTTTAAAAAAAAAAAAAAGTGAATTTCTTTAAATTTGACTAACTTTATTTCTACTTGCCGTACGACCACCACAACGAGCGCACGATCGTAATTGACAATAAAAGCATTTGTGACCAATGCCATCTGCAAATTTAGTTTTTTGACAAATTTGACAGATGGCATCATCCTGTGTACCAACAAGACGTTGTGCAATCTCTTTTCGTTGATTGATTTGCTTTTCGATTGCTTCCAATTCTTCATCTGCTTTTCTATAAAAATGAAAGAAAGACAGAAAAATAAATAAATAAATAAATAAAAATTAACAATAAAATACATATTTTCACTTTGTTTTTTTGTTTACTTGTTTGTTTGTTTACAATGAATTACGAATTTGTTTGTAAAAAATAAAAAAAATAATTTTTTTTTTTTTGTTTGTTTACATTGAATTACTAATTGCTATTTGCATTTTTTATAATTTTTTTTTTTTAGTTTGTTTACATTAAATTATCAAATACTAATTACATTCATTATTATTTTTAATCATTTTTTTTTTTGTTTACTTATTTATTTGTTTGTTTACATTAAATTACCAAATAAATTGAACTTTATTAACTATTTTTAATCAATTTTTTTTTGTTTACTTATTTATTTGTTTGTTTACATTAAATTACCAAATATTAATTACATTCATTATTATTTTTAATCATTTTTTTTGTTTGCTTATTTATTTGTTTGTTTACATTAAATTACCAAATACTAATTACATTCATTATTATTTTTAATCAATTTTTTTTTGTTTGCTTATTTATTTGTTTGTTTACATTAAATTACCAAATAAATTGAACCTTCCTAACTATTTTTAATCAATTTTTTTGTTTGCTTATTTATTTGTTTGTTTACATTAAATTACTAATTATTAGTTGCATTTTTTATTATCTTTATTCAATTTTTCTGTTTTGTTTGTTTACATTGAATTATTAATTACTAGTTACATTTCTCATTATTTTTATCCAATTTTTTTTGTTTGTTTGTTTATTTGTTTACATTAAATTACTATTTATATAGTTACATTTTTCATTATCTTTATTTTACTATTAAATTTGATTAAAATAAAAAAAAAAACGAAAAATTTATCGTTGCTCAAATTTGATTAATGATTTTCAATCTTAAAATCAAAACATATATATGCAGTTTTTTTCAAAAAATTCAATTTCAAAATTTTTTATTTATTTAAATTCTATTTTTTTCTCTTTTAGCAAAAAGAAAAAAAAAAGATTGTTTTCAAAATTATTTAATTTTTATTAAAAATTGTAAAAATTAGCATCAAATAATCATTTATTAAAATAATCATTTGGTCTAATTATATTTTTATTTTTAAATTTTGCATTTCATCTGTAAAATATATTTTTTTTAACTTTTAAACAATATTTTTAATTTTTACAATTCATCTATAAAATATCTAAATGATTAAATAAGTAATTTAAAGTAAACAAAAATGATTGAGCAAGCAATTTAAATAAGCCAATTTTGATTAAATAAAAATATAATTTTTACAGTTTTATTTTTTAATTACTTTCGTAACAATTGTTTACAAATAAACTAATAATTTACTTGTAAACAATAAGTGGAATTAGAAAAATAGAAGAGAGTGAAATGATGAGATGAAAATGAAATTTGAAAAAATATTACTCTTATTTGAAGCTAAACTTATCAGAGTTGTATTTTCTCAAATTTTATCACTTATCATTAATTCGATAACAACAACCAAATTCTAAATTAAAATTAAAAGTTGTTTACTATAAAAAGAAAAGTTGTTTATTATAAACAAATAATAAACTCTATATTAAAAATAAAAAAAAAAAAACGATTGAAAGTTAAATCTAAATGAAAATTAAAATTAACTATTATTATTTAGTAATACTTAATATTAGCAGTATTAATTACTAGTATAACTCTAACTTTAACTTTTAACTATTATTATTTAGTAATACTTAATATTAGCAGTATTAATTACTAGTATAACTCTAACTTTAACTTTCAACTATTATTATTTAGTAATACTTAATATTAGCAGTATTAATTACTAGTATAACTCTAACTTTAACTTTTAACTATTATTATTTAGTAATACTTAATATTAGCAGTATTAATTACTAGTATAACTCTAACTTTAACTTTCAACTATTATTATTTAGTAATACTTAATATTAGCAGTATTAATTACTAGTATAACTCTAACTTTAACTTTCAACTATTATTATTTAGTAATACTTAATATTAGCAGTATTAATTACTAGTATAACTCTAACTTTAACTTTCAACTATTATTATTTAGTAATACTTAATATTAGCAGTATTAATTACTAGTATAACTCTAACTTTAACTTTTAAAATATTTCAAAAAAAAATGATTTACTGGCTAAGTTGTGTTTCTTTCTCCTCTTCAGCACGTTGTCGTTGAAGTACTTCCTCAATAATTTGTCGTTCTTCTGCACTTAAATGTGACAAATCGGGCGTGGGTGGTTCAGCCATTTTTGCCCTTTGACCCGTTTAGCAATTAAAGGCCTAAAATTATTCAATTATTACTTTCCTTCTTTCTTTTTTTGAAATTAACCAAAATAATGCTTAATTAATAGATAGCATTGAAAGATACACAATAAAAAAAAATTTTTTTTCTTTAAATTAATTTTTAATTTCTTTTTTTTTTAAAAAAGATATTTTTTAATTTTTCCTTTTTTTAAAAATATTAATTTTTAATTTCTTTTTTTTTAAATTCTTTTTTTTTTTTACAAATTAATTCTTAGTTTTGTTCTTGTTTTTTTTTTTTTGAAATTTTTTGCAAATTATTAATGCTTAGTTTTTTTTTTTGGTTTGATCAAAAAAATTGTAAAAATTTTAAACTTTAAAAAATTTTTTTTAGTAATAAACTAAAATTGAAGAAATTAGAAAAAAAAAAAGGAAGGAATGATTTAATATTGTTTATATAAGTTACAATTAAACTAAAAATTTATCCATTTTTTCTTTTCTTTTTTGAAACTAAATAATTTTTCAATTTATTGAACTTAGAAGAAAAAAAAAAAAAATGAAAAGATAAAGTAAAAGAAGAATATCTGATAATTGGCCATAAACTTATCTCTCTCTCTCCCCCTCCCTCTCTCTCTTTCTCCCTCTCTCTCTTTCTCCCTCTCTCTCTCTCCTTTTTTCCCTGCAAATAAAATAAGCCATAGGCTTGTTTTGTTTTTTGCATTTTTTTTTCCTGTACGAGTAGCAATTGGCATCGTTATTTTCATGATGTCATTTATTTCAAAAAGAGAAGAAAGAAAGGGGAAGAGAAAAAAAGAAAAGTATAATTAAAATAATAATAAAGAAACAAATAGTAAAAATTTTGCTATAGATTATTTAAATTTTTATAAATAATAATTAATTATCAAAATTTTTGTAATTAAAAAGATAAACTAAACATTTCTTTTCTTTTTTTTTTTTAAAAAAGGATATATAAATATGCATATGATTATATATCTGTTATCAGTGATAACAATATGATAACAGTGTAATTAATTATCATAATTTTTATAATTAAAAATAAACTTAATGATATATATCTTTTCAAAAAAGATATATATTACATATATCTGTTATCAGTGATAACAGTGTAATTAATTATCATAATTTTTATAATTGAAAAATAAACTTAATGATATATATCTTTTCAAAAAAGATATATATTACATATATCTGTTATCAGTGATAACAATATGATAACAGTGTAATTAATTATCATAATTTTTATAATTAAAAATAAACTTAATGATATATATCTTTTCAAAAAAGTGTTATATATTATATATGTATATCTGTTATCAGTGATAACAATATGATAACAGTGTAATTAATTATCATAATTTTATAATTGAAAAATAAACTTCACGTTTTTTTTTTAAAAAAGTGTTATATACTATATATGTATATCTGTTATCAGTGATAACAATATGATAACAGTATAATTAATTATAAAAATTTTTAAAATTGAAAAATAAACTTAACGTTTTTTTTTTTAAAAAAAGGTTATATACTATATATATCTGTTATCAATGATAACAATATGATAACAGAATTATCATAATTTTATAATTGAAAATCTCTCTCTGTTACTAAAATTACAATTGAAAATATATGATAATAGCATAATTAATTTTAAAAGTTTTTATAATTGAAAAATAAACTTAACGTTTTTCTTTTTTAAAGAAAAATGAACATAAATATATGCAAAATGATTACATATATTTTTTTATCAGTGATAACAAAATGATAATAGCATTAGTGATTGTTAATCGATAAGAATGGAATAAACAATCAAATAATCACTACAAATTGTAAACATTATCACAAATTGCATTTAAAATTTCCAATTAACTCAATTATTAAAATAATTGCTTCAAATAAATGAAATATAAATGGCATTAATGCTGATAATAAAATTTATTTATCTTATAAAATCTTATAAATTTAATATTCTTATTTAATATAATACTTATGAATTTAAATTAATTATCAAATAATATTTATAAATTTAATTAATCTTATTATAATACTTTATAAATTAATTAATTTTATCTTAATATAATACTTTATAAATTTAAATTAATCTTATTATGACATAATACTTTATGAATTTAAATTAATTTTATCTTAATATAATACTTTATAAATTTAAATTAATCTTATTTTAATATAATACTTTCTGAATTTAAATTAATTTTATCTTAATATAATACTTTATAAATTTAAGTTATTCTTATTTTAACAAAATATTTTATAGATTTAAATTAATCTTACTTTAATAAAATATTTTATAAATTTAAATTGATCTTATTTTAATAAAATATTTTATAAATTTAAATTAATCTTATCTTAATATAATACTTTATGAATTTAAGTTATTCTTATTTTAATAAAATATTTTTTAAATTTAAATTAATCTTAAATTAATAAAATGCTTTATAAATTTAAATTATATAATATTTCTATCCGTTCATTAAAAAAATTATTAATTATATAATATTTTAAAATATTTCATTCTATCATTTCATTAATTACATTTTGCTATCAAATAAATTAATTCTTTTGTTCGTTCATTTTTGTTGAATTTAAAATGAAAGTTAAAAAATTTAAATTTAATCTTTATTTTACTGTTGCAATTTAAATATGAAATTGAAATGACACAATAGAGAGGGAGGAAGAGAGTGAGAGAGAGGGAGAGAGAATAAATTTTAGATATAAAAATTAAGTGACACATTAGAGAGAGAGAAAGGAGGAGATAGGGAGAGAGAGAGAGGGAGAGAGAGAATAAATTTTAAATATAAAAGAGATTAAATTTAAAATGTAAAATTGAAATAAGACAATGGAGAGGAAGAAAGAGATTAAATTTTAAATATAAAAATTAAATGACATAATAGAGCAAAAAAAAAGTGACTAAATTTTAAATGTAAAAATATGAAATGATAAAGTACAGAAAGAGAGAGAGAGAGAGAGAGAGAGAGAGGGGAAGAGAGGGGAAGAGAGAGTTCATTTAAATAATTATTTCAAATGAGTGAAAAATTAAATAGCTGATAATAAAATTAATTAATCTAATCTTAATAAAATATATTATAAATTTAAATTATAAAATATTTTTACTAATTTATAAAAAAAATATTTTTTAATTTTATAATATTTTACAATATTTCTTTATATCAAATTATATAATAATTTGCTTCTCTTTTTTTCTGCAATATTTCTTTTAAATTTAGATAAATTATAAAATCTTTTCTCTTTTTGTTTACTTTCTTTTCCATTTCTATTTTTTTTTTGATTTAAAAAAAGAAAACAAATTTTATGATTGAGATGTTACATGAGATATGGGTGTTATTTCCGCTAAATTAAACTTTAAAATATACAAACAAATTTTAACAATTTATTATAAATGGAATATTTGAAACTAAACAAATAGATTGAAAAGGATTATATTATTTTTTTTTTTTTTCATAAAATAAAGAATCCAATTTAAAGAAAAAAAAGAAAAAAAATCGGACTATATTGATTAATGAATGTTAATTTTTGACATTTTAAACAAACATTTTCGTTTCGTTTCGTTTTTTTTTTTTTTCTTTTTTGCAATTTTTAAAATTTATGCAATAAATAATGAAAGCAAAAAAGAAAAGAAAAGAAAAAGTAGCATAAATGATATTAGCAATAGTATTAGTCAAATAAGAATGTAAAATTGTTTTAATGTAAAACATTGCTTATTGTTATTGTATTTTATTGTTAATTGTTGTTGAAAACTTTTGAGACAATTATTTTTTTTGTAGTTTAATATATTTTATTGATTGTATAAGTTTTTATTAATATTGAAAAAGTAACATAAATGATATTAGTAATAGTATTAGTCAAATAAGAATGTAAAATTGTTTTTAATGTAAAACATTGCTTATTGTTATTGTATTTTATTGTTAATTGTTGTTGAAAACTTTTGAGACAATTATTTTTTTTGTAGTTTAATATATTTTATTGATTGTATAAGTTTTTATTAATATTGAAAAAGTAACATAAATGATATTAGTAATAGTATTAGTCAAATAAGAATGTAAAATTGTTTTTAATGTAAAACATTGCTTATTGTTATTGTATTTTATTGTTAATTGTTATTGAAAATTTTTGAGACAATTATTTTTTTTTGTAGTTTAATATATTTTATTGATTGTATAAGTTTTATTATTATTGAAAAAGTAGCATAAATGATATTAGCAATAGTATTAGTCAAATAAGAATGTAAAATTGTTTTTAATGTAAAACATTGCTTATTGTTATTGTATTTTATTGTTAATTGTTGTTGAAAATTTTTGAGACAATTATTTTTCTTGTAGTTTAATATATTTTATTGTTTGTATAAGTTTTTATTAATATTGAAAAAGTAGCATAAATGATATTAGTAATAGTATTAATCAAATAATAATGTAAAATTGTTTTTAATGTAAAACATTGCTTATTGTTATTGTATTTTATTGTTAAATGTTGTTGAAAACTTTTAAGATAATTATTTTATTTGTAAGATTTTTTTTTTGTAATTTAATATATTTTATTGATTGTGTAAGTTTTTATTAGTATTAATCAAATAATAATATAAAATGTTGCTGTTTTTGTTGTTGTTATTAATATAAAACAATTGTTTTATTGTTAATTGTTGTTGAAAACTTTTAAGATAATTATTTTACTTGTAAGATTTTTTTTTGTATTTTAATATATTATATTGGTTGTGTAAGTTTTTATTGATATTGATTAAATAATAATATAAAATATTGTTGTTTTTGTTGCTGTTATCATTAATATAAAAAACATTGGTTATTGTTATTGTATTTTATTGTTAACTGTTGTTGAAAACTTTTAAGATAATTATTTTACTTGTAAGATTTTTTTTTTATTTGTATTTTAATATATTTTATTGATTGTGTAAGTTTTTATTAATATTGATTAAATAATAGTATAAAATGTTGTTG